CCTACATAGAGTTACCATTCAATAAATATTTGAGTGAAGGAATGATAAAGGAACAATCCACAGAATTGGAAATATTTGGTCCAGGGAAGGGAAATTTCAAGATTCAGCTGAGAACCCATCTCCAAAACAAAGTTTATTCAATTTTAGAGAAGAGTGTACATTCTAAATATTGTACTCTAAATTTTAGACTGTACATTCTAAACATTGCCCTATTGTGTTTTTTAGAGTATAAGACTATTGGATGATTTGAATTGATGATCAATTTTTTATCTCCTTTGCAAGATAAAACTTGAAAAAAGGGCCTTAAATTATGGTATTTAGGTTAGACCTTAAAAGTATTGCTATTTTGGCCACATAATACATTGTTGTGGGAGTTTGTCCTTTGTATTATGAGATGCTTAGTAGCATCTCTATTGTCTACTCATTAGATGCCAGCAGCAACTCCCCCACTTACCCAGAGTTGTGACAAATAGTAACATCTCCTGACATTGCCAAGTGTCCCCTACAGGGCAAACGTGCTGCCAGATGAAAACCACCGGCTTAGACTTAAAGAGTAAACTCCTGACATCAGAAAAGGAGACAAGAGATGGTGGAAATCTTCCCATGAGTCTCTTAATACAAAGTAGATGGATACTTTACTAGTTTACATTGACCTGACATCACGGTAACACATGAAATGTCTCCTGTCGACTCTAAGGGAGATTTCTGAAACAAGAATAATTCAGTGAATTTTGGTGATGTGAGAAGGAAGCCGTTTACCAAATCATCTGGCTACTTCTCTCAGTTGCACTTATTCAGGGGTCCTTCTGGTATACCTTCAGTGTCAGAGCACTCTGCAGATCACAGGGGCAGAAGGTTTCATTTGGAATTTGATACCTTGGAGTTATTGGTTTCTGGTTTTCCATAAATCTCTCTTTGGCTATATACCTCAAATTTTCAAAGTTATGAAACAAAATACAATAAATGGTTAAAACCACTCCCCCAAAGCCACAGAGGAAGTTTGGTAACAGATGCAAACACCTCTGTGGTCAAAGCACCTGACCCTGTCTCTGCCCTGCAGCAGCTCAGAACCAGGTGAGCCACAGGGGGTGCAAGAGTTCACTCGTGAGCCACGTAGGACGATAGTCAGTCACTTCAGGTGCCTGAGCTTATTTTTTTCAAACAACTTCATTATGTTAAAAACATCATTCTTCCCCTCTCTGTTCATCTATCTACTACAGCAAGTAAACTATGTCTCTGTCAAAACTTTGGCTGACAGTCTTCTCCACACAGTAAAATCAACTTCTAGATTAAGCCAGATCAGCAAATATGTGGAAACTCATATAACTAGACACCAAAAAACAATCAAACTAAAAAACACTCAGAGGACCTGAATAGACACTCTTCCAGAGTGATATTTTTTAACAAAAATCTGTTCATGTCACTCTCCTGACTAAGGACAATCAATATATTCTCATTCCTTACAGTGACTCCTTACCATGGTCTACGTGAATGAGCTTTTTCCCATCACACCTCCAGATTCATCTTCTGTCACTTTCTCCCTGGTCACCCACTATTCCATTATGGTGGCCTTCTTCCAGTTCCTTGAACAGGCTACACTCGGGGTTCTGCACATGCTGTTTTCCATCCTCTTCCAAGTATAGTTCCCACTCATCATTTTGATAACAGCTAAAATGTCACATCTAGAAAAAGGAGTCTTATTCCCACAGACTAACTTGGATTCCCTGGTAAATGCCCTAAGAGCCCCTACTCTTCATAGCACTTAAAATTATACCAACTCACTGTATAATTTGACATTCCAGATTTTTTCCTCAGAAAAATGTAAACCTTATTAAGACAGGTACTGTGTTTGCTTTTAACCATCATATTTTCCAGTTTTCAGAACAGTACTATATGCCTGTAGCTCTGTAAGAGTAGGAAAATAGGCCTGGCTGGGTAGCTAAGCTGGTTAGAGTGTTGTCCCAATATGCCAGGGTTGCAGGTTGTATCTCTGATCAAGGCAACCAATGAATGAATAAATAAGTGGAACAACAAAGTAACGTTTCTCTCTCTCTCTCTCCCCCTTTCTCTAGCTGTAGAAAAGTTGAATTCTTGATTACCATTTTGGAGAGTTACAATTCATATTTACAGTTTTTTTAAAAATGCAACTATTTAACTTTGTTTAACCCTTTATTTTCCAAAGTTGCTTAACTATAGAACTTTCTATTGCATAAGTCTTTGGCATTTTGTTAGACACATGTAATCCCAGAAATGCTGTGCAATAGATACATACTAAGGTGCCTGAACTGCCCCACCTTTCACCCCAAATAGGGAATCTCTGACGCCATGTTTTTATGATATTGTCCCCCAACTAACCACCTGAAAGTTGTGGGCTTCTGAAGTGCTGCCTCTGGGGCATGAGGATAACATGCTGGGAAGTCTTCATGGGCCCTGAACAAGCAAAGAAGAAAAAATTGGTCTGCAGACAAAATGAAGCAGCAATGGGAAGAGAAATGCTAGGCAGGGCTTCCAGACTCAAATGGGGTCAGGCAGGACAACAGGAGTGAGGTGAACTAAAGGGACATGCCCTGTCTGAAGAAAATTAAATTCAGAATTCTTTCAACTAGAAGTTTCAAAGTGTGATCACCCAGCATCACCTGGGAAATTGTTAGAGATGCAACTTCCCAAGATCCACCCTAAGATTTATTTACTACAAACTCTGGGGTGGGGCTCAGCAGTCAATGTTTCAATGAGCCACAAACATCCCAGAAACAAATCTCCCCCACAGGCTGACAACTGGTGACCTCTGTTCAAGGCGAGACAAAGAGAAATAGCAGTCTGGACTTTTAATGACCTTCCAGACCCCAGTTCCATTGACTCATGACACCTGGTTACCCAAGTTCTGGGGCTAACCCTGCCGTTACAGTAAGTTCTCTCTTTTGTTTAAGCTGGTTTGGTGAGGTTGTTTCTTGTACCCAAACAAAGATTAAGCTACACCAATAAAATGAAAAACAACAACAACAACAAATAAACCTGAATTCATGGCCCAGTTCTGTCAAAAATAAGCTGAATGAGGAGGCCTTACACCATGTTCCATCCCTCTGTTCCTATCAGTGCCATCCACCTACAAACGATGGGGTGGGGCTGGGTATCCAGGGTGTCTTCACTCTCTAATATGCTAGACTACACACTGGCTCCTCTGGATAGTCTCTTGACTTTACAGAACCCTTAAGAAAGATCCCCAATTTTCCTTAGTTTTACCCATTGACTTTAAGTAGTTGAAGTAAAAAACCAGAAGATAAAAACCACCTCAATTCTCTTTGTCTCTTCTGGTCTTTCAAAAGCATCAACTAATAGAGAGGTATTTTGAGTAAGGTTTATTTGATGTTCTAATTATTTTTTAAGTTAAAACTAAATTTCAGCATGCTATAATTAGGCTAAATTTAATTAAGGTTGCCATCTATCATAAACAGTACATAAAGAAAAATATAAAACCAAATTATATTTGCAGAAAATAGTCTCTTTTGGCAGTTATTCTCTTAAAAATGCAATTCATACAAATAATTAATATTAGATGAAGTGGCAAATTATTTTAATGCTTTTAAACATGTAAAAATCATTAAGGGAAATACCCCCAAATCAATAATATTCTAAAATAAATAGTAAGAATATCCTCCATTATGCCCATAAACCCTGTGTTATATAACTTCTTAGTTGACGATGAATAAAACTAGAAACTAGTATTGTTTTGATGCTTAAATTCCCACCTCAGCAGACTTTTCTCTGATGTTGAAATGAAAATAGTGACCAAATGCTTTGATGGACAACTCATTACAATGAGAACCGGAGGCTTCTGAAACCAGACAAAGATTTTTCTGTGCCTCCCAGATGCCAGGGAAAATATTTCAGTCTCTTAACTTTAAGAATTAACTTTATATATGCATTTTTTAAAGTACTCTAGTCATGGTCAAAGTCAAGGTATAGTTTTTAAAAAGCAGAAAGACAAGGTGAAAAAATTTTTGAGAGAAAATAAAAAGAAACAAGGGGGAAATTTTTTCAGCAGAATAGAATCTCTTTGCCCTTGAAAGGTTTGGATCCAACCCTATTTGTTATCCTAGAAAAGCTCTTCTAAAGAAAGGTTTCAGTGTAAGAACTGCTTGAAAGAAGCCAACCCTTTGGAAACAGCAACGGCTCAGTCATTTATTAATGTCAAATATGCTGCCCGCATGAATTAGCTTGCCTTTTGGAGCCACACAGAAAGTTCTCGTGCACCTGCCTCTTAACGTCCTGACACTTCTGGCTTCAATGGCAGCAGCATCAACCACCAGGAAATAAAAATTTTTTTTAAAAAGTTGAACATAACTACAGTCCACTTTTTCAATAGTTGATTCATCAATTTTTAATGGCTTCTTACAAAAGTATCATCAGTGACCACAGCATATAAAGGCCTGCTCTGATGTAAAAGGAAAAGCAAAACAGAGTCATTTTCCCAAACTGACAAAATGTAACTAAATTACCACAAAACTGACCTTAGAAACAAAGAGAAATGGAGCAAAAAGAGGCCAGATTTCTCACTGGCAGTTCCACAGTGGCAAACATCCCAGAACTAAGAAAAGCTGCCAAGTAGAAGACAGAAAATTAAAGGACTTTCCAAAACCAGCCAAGCCCAGTGCACAGAGCAATCCCAACAGCTGGAGTGAGCTGCAGGAGCAGGACACAGGGACAAGGTGCCGCCTTACTTTTTATTTACAGCACAGTTCCAAGTCATTAAATCAAGGACACATGAAATGACTCTTTCTTCCTGGTTGGCATCAGACATCCTTCCTATCAGCTGCAATCACATCATCTTTATCCACCTTCTGCTTTTCCTTTTGTGAGGACAAGGGTGGGGAGTGACACATGGGCCAAAGAGACTTCAGTCTGAAAACAAAGAGAAATCCCTGCTTGCAGAGAAACAAAGGAACGGACTTCCTCTCTTGTGAAAGGCAGGAATCCTGCTGCAGTTATGAGGAGCCTGGTAAGGAGAGAAAGCTGCCACAAAGAGATTCTTTCTGGAAGTGGTCAAAGAAGGCAAGGACCTGGGGTGTGGGGTGGCTGCTGTCACCACCATCACCCTCTCTTCTGTCTCAGCCTTTGCCCTGGCAAATCCAATGATAAACAAGGGAAAGTAATTTTGTGTAGAAAACCAAAGTGAATGGGAATGTGAGTGGAATGAACGTAAAAGAAGAAACTGAAAATGGTCAAAAGTTTCTCAGAGTGTCTTTCTCAGACTGGCATAGAAATCTCTGATCCACTGCTTCAGGTATTTAACTTCCAAGGAGCGGGCTAATAGCAGAGTCTCGGGATCAAAGGCATTGTTGGCTCGAAGATCTAGGTGATGGGCCCCTTCTGGGATAGTGATGGCAACCAAGGTGTCTGTGATGTTCTTGGTTACTCCACCTCCTGACCAGGGGTCTAGGTCACCATTGCTAAGTGAGGAAAAGATGAAAAAATAGGATTGTTAAATTTTTGTATTTATATCCAGATAAGACAGGAGAAACCTATTTTGTGAATAACAGCTAAAATTACAAGCTTGTAACCTAGGCATTTGATCTGGGGACCTAATCTGTCATGCAGGAAGGTTATTCACACCAGTACATTTTTCTGCAAACAACTACTAGAAACAGGACCAAGGAGTAAAGGTGGTACCTGATAAATCAGTTCAGATTGCACCAAAAATTGGAATTTAGAAACCTAAATTTCAATCCCAGCTTCATCACTCAAAAGCCAGATGACCTCCCTCCTCTGAAAGACAGAGATAACAAGGCCAACCTCACAGGGCTGTTGCCTGGATTAAACCAGGTGGTACATGTTGTATTTAGTAAGCACGAGTGTCAGGCACGTAGCAGTCCCTCTGTTAATGCCAGTGTCCTCCTTCCTAGGACCAGCTATCAAAGTAATAAAGAAAAACTCTCCTATTTTAAAATGCTAATTATCTCTTAGCTATCAAAGAAAAACCTTCATTTTTCACACAATACATCCCTTGTAGTAGATTACTTGGGGAAATAGGGTATAAAACTGAAAAAATTCCTCCAAATTGGAATCAGAAAATGTGGTCATTACTCAAAGATCCCCATTTTACAGTGGCTTTAAAGTTAAGAAAATGCTATTAGGTTATTAGTCTTAGCTGATACATACAACACATTTCAGAATGATCGCAACAGGATCACTCATTGAAACAGGCTATTCAGTTTAGCTGAGTAGAAATCTATTACGACCACAGAAGACAGCTTCCCTAATAATATTCAGCAACTTTGTCGAGATATAATTCACTGCAAAGTTCACCCATTTAGAATGTAAAGTTCAATGGTTTTTAGTATATTCAGTGTTTTGCAACCATAACCACAATTTTAGAACATTTTCATCATCCCCAAAAGAAACCCATTCTCATTGGCAGCCAATAATCCCCATTCACCTCCCCAGAACTTTCTTACTCTTAGCCCTAGGCAACCACCAATCTACTTTTCATCTCTAGAGATTGCCTGTTCCGGACATGTCATATAAATGGAATTATATAATGGGTGATCTTTCATGATTAGCTTTTTTCATTTCAGAGTAATGTTTTCAGTTTTTGTTCATGTTATTGTATGCTATCAGAATATTATTCCTTTTTATTGACAAATAATATTCCATTGTATGACTGTCACATTTTATTGTCTCCACTTTTTTCTATTATGTACATCATGGCTCCTGTGAACATTCATGTACAAGTTTTGGCATGGATGCAGGTTTTCATTTCTCTTGGGAACATTCCTAAAAATGGAATTTTTCTTATACATGGTGATAACCTTGGGAAGAACCAAAATACTTTCCAAAGTGGCTGCACCATTTTACATTTTGCACTAGCAACACATGAAGTTTCCAGTTTTTCTATATCCTCACTAACACTTATTATCTTTTTGTTAATACTTTCATAAATTTAAATATAGTTGGTATACAATATTATGTTAGTTATACTACTTTCAGGAGTACAATATAACAACTCAACATTGTTATATCTTTCAGTGGGATGACCCCACTAATTCTAATAATCAGCTGTCACCGTCCAAACCTATCACAAGAATATTCACTGTATTTCCTTTTACTTTTTCACCCATCCACCCATGTTATGTGGCTATAGCCATGTTACATGGGTATTAAATGATTCTTTTTGTGACTTTCATTTGCATTTCCCAAATGGTTTATGGTATTGAGCACTTTTTCATGATCCACTGGACTGTATATCTTCTTTGAAAAAAAGTCTAGTCAGATCTGTGCCCATTTATAAACTGTTTATTATGAACAACTTTAATTTTAAAATATATTTTATTGATTATGCTATTACAGTTGTCCCATTTTTTCACCCCTTTATTCCTCTCCACCCTGCACCTGCCCTTCCACCAGCAGTCCCCCCAGCCTTAGCTCACGTCCAAGGGTCGTACATATAAATTCTTTGGCTTCTCCATTTCCCATACTGTTCTTAACCTCCCTCTGTCTATTTTGTACCTATCTTTTATGCTTGTTATTTCCAGTACCTTTTCTCCCATTCTCCTGCCTCCTCCTCCCCACTGATAACTCTCCATGTGATCTCAATTTCTGTGAATCTTTTCCTGTTCTAGTTGTTTGCTTAGTTTGTCTGTTTGGTTTTTTTTTTTTTTTAGGTTCCATTGTTGATAGTTATGAGTTTATTGTCATTTTTACTATTCATATTTTTGGTCATCTTATTTTTCTTAGATAAGTCCCTTTAACATTTCATATAACAAGGGCTTGGTGATGATGAACTCCTTGAACTAGACCTTATCTGGGAAGCACTTTATCTGCCCTTCCATTCTAAATGAAAGCTGTGCTGGATAGAGCAATCTTGGTTGTAGGTCTTCGGATTTCATGACTTGGAATACTTCTTTCTAGACCCTTGCTGCCTGTAAGGTCTCTTTTGAGAAATCAGCTGATAATCTTATGGAAACTCCTTTGTAGGTAATTCCCTCCCTTTTTTTGCTGCTTTTCAGAGTCTCTCCTCATCTTTAATCTTGGGTAATGTAATTATGATATGCCTTGGTGTGTACTTTTTGGGGTCCAACTTCTTTGGGACTCTCTAAGTTTCCTGGACTTCCTAGAAGTCTATTTTCTTTGCCAGATTGGGGAAGTTGTCCTTCATTATGTTTTCAAATAAGTTTTCAATGTCTTGTTTTTCCTCTTCTCCTTCTGGTACCCCTATGATTCAGATATTGGAATGTTTAAAGTTGTCCCACAGGTTTCTAATCCTCTCTTCATTTTTTTGAATTGTTATTTCTTCATTCTGTTCTGGTTGAATGTTTATTTTTTTTCTTCTGGTCCAAATTGTTGATTTGAGTCTTGATTTCCTGTCCTTCACTGTGAGTTCCCTGTATATTTTTCTTTATTTCACTTTGCATAGTTTTCACTTTTTTCTCTATTTTGAGACAATACACAACCATTTCTGTGAGCATGCTGATTACCAGTGTTTTGAACTGTGCATCTGATAAATTGGCTATCTCTTCGTCACTTAATTGTTTTTCTAGAGCTTTGATCTGTTCTTTCAGTTGAGCCATATTTTTTTTGTCTTGGCATACCTTTTACATTGTAAGCGGTGGAGCCTTAGATACTCACCAGGCTGGAGCAACCCTTCTCACTTTGTTGTGGTGCTGTTGTGGGGGAGGGGTCAGAGAGGGAGCAACGTCTCCTTCTTGGGTCTCATTGAGCTTTCAGTCACTTCCCCAGCTACCCACAAGCAAATTGGGCCCTTCTAGTGCTGATTCCCAGATACATAGGATTGTGTACATTCTAGGACCCTCTGGGTCTCTCCAATGAACCCTCCTGTGAGGATGGGAGTTTCTCTTACCACCATAACCCCCACAGATTTTTACAGCCAGAGGTTTTGAGGCTTTATTTCCCTGTCTGGAACCCAGGGTTGTATAGTCTGTCTTGCTCCACAGTTGTTCCTCCTGGTTTATCTGTATGCAAATGTGGGACTGCCCACTCTGCCAGCCGCTGCCTTGCCCACGCCAGTCCTCCAGCCACAAACTTGCAGTGCATCCTCTCTACCCCAGCTGTCCATCTCCGCCCCTCCTACCAGTATGTACAAATGTTTCTCCTTTAACTTTTTGGTTGTCGGACTTCTATACAGTTTGATTTTCTGGAAGTTCTGGTTGTTTTTTTGTTTTTAAATTTGTTGTTGTCTTTCTTTCAGTCGTGTAAGGAGGCAAAGTGTATCTACATATGCCTCCAGCTTGAATGCAAGTCCCACATGATTATGGAGGCTGAGAGGTCCAAATCCATGAGAACTGGTGGCATATTTCCAGTCCTCCTCCAACACTAAAGACAGGAGAAGACTCATAGCCCAGCTCAAATATAGTAAGGCCAAAACTGGGTTATCAATGAAATCATTTGATCCATTCTGAGCTAATTTTTTGGTATGGTATGAAATGGGGATCCAGCTTCATTCTATTGCATGTGAATATCTAGTTTTCCCAGCATCATTACTTGAAAACCTATTCAGATGTCTAAAAGCCAATTAACCGTACATATATAAAGGTTGACTTCTAGACTGTCAATTCTTTTTCATTGATCTATTTTCTATCTTTAAGGCAGTGTAACACTGTGTTGATCATGGTAGCTTTATAACAAGTTTGAAACCAGATGTATGAGTTCTTCAAATTTGTTCTTTCTTTTCAAGACTATTTTAGCCATTTTGGGTCCCTTGCATTTTTATATATATTCTAATATGAACTTTTAATTTCTGCAAAAAAAATGCAGCTCCAATTTTGACTGGGATAACAATATATCTGTAGATCAGTGTGGCATATTGACATCTTAACAATATTAGTTCTTCCACAAGAAGAACATGAGTACATCCACAAGAACATGAGATATTTTTCTATTTATTTAGATCTTTAGCTTCTTCCAGCAATATTTCGTAATTTTCTATGTATGCATGTCACACTACTTCTGTTAAGTATTTAATTCTTGATGTTTTTGTAGATGAGATGGATTCCTGGTATTAACTTCATACATACATACACTGGTTCAGAGTTTACAAAGCCTTTCATATTTGGCAATTATAACAATCCTACAAAGTAGGTTTAATTACAATCCTTTTGTAGAAGAGAAAACTAACACCCAAATTATTCACCTAGCAATGGCAAATCTGATAGACAAACTCAGGTCTTATAACTCTAGTCCAATGCTCAATGTATTAACAGTCCATTGTAATAACATTGCATGTTATTAACATTATTAATATTAATATTACAATGGAACGTTAATGCACTCCATTGTAATAACATGGAATGTTAATAACTACATTACATTCCATGGGAACATGATTGCTGTTCAAAATCTTTAGCACATACCCTCTTGACTTGTTTGGTGCAGAGTAAAAAAAACACATGAGCTTTGAGGTCAGACACACCTGGGTCCCAGGCCCATGTCAGCC